AGAGACAGACAGATAGATAGATAGATAGATAGATAGATAGATAGATAGATAGATAGATAGATAGATAGATAGATAGATACCTAAAGAAATCACTGCATGCTGCAAGAACACAGCGATGACAAGGAAAACTGCGTTCCTGGACTTGGATGGTGAAGTCAAACAGCAAGCCTTGTTCCCTGAATGATCTGAGCACATCCAGAAGCTGCAGTCCGTGGGACTCGGACACATGCAGCGGCATCTGTCTTTCCTGGACCCCACTGAACGGAGAGGCACAGCCAGTTTTGCCACTGGGAGGGCTGGAGATGTGGGAGGTAGTCAAATAGGTTTCCTCTGGTTTTGGATCCATATTGTCAAAAACCTATAATGATGCAAAAGTAAGTTATGGAACTTGTACTATATATTATCTGAGAATAAACAAATCATTTTGAAATGATGATTCACACATTCACGTCTTATTGTGTGTCATGGAATAGGTCAGTGTGTTCAGCTCAGTTACTAAAGTGATCAGGACTAAAGTAAACGTGACATATTCGTTTTAAACATCGTGTATGAAACATATGTGTGAAGTAGAAGACTCACTTACAGAAGTGTCAGCACCTCGGACAGTTACCGTCCCAACTTCCGGAAACGTAAGCTCACGCGATAAATCGACGAGATTTGTCCGTTTTTAAATTTTTATTTATTTTCTGTCGGCGCTTGTGTTTCTGCCATTGTCTTCACGGGGAATAAATATGTTTTTCCAACAATTATAACGTGCTCGTCGCAGCTCTGACTGTCGCAGAGTTACGTGATCGGCTCGTTTTTCGGCGGATAACAACGCAAAGCTCTTTGGGAAATGTAGTTTTCTCTCGCAGGTTACTCGAGAAACAATCAATCAAACCGCTGCACTAATTAAAAAAGGTGACCTGTGCTGGACAAACTAGTCACATTGAGAAATTATTCAATATTTAATCAATGGTATTTTAAAATTATCACGCTGAAATTCTACAAAATGACAAGTTCATATTTATTTATTTATTTATTTTCTGAAGTGTCGGTTTGAAAAGGTTATTAGAAATTTCAATATGTTTTTAAAAAAGGAATCTAAAGTTCACAAAGATGCCAAACATTGTACGAAGGGATTTCCTAGTACAACAGCAGCCTGCAGAGAAAAATGAATCATCAAACATCAAAAGTTTCAAAACAACAACAAAATGTTTCTGAAGACATACCTGGTATAAAACTTTGATCCAAAATATATAGATTAGGAAGATCATCTGATATTTTAGTGACTGGGATCACTAAACGGTGTCTTTATGGACTAATTTTAATGCAAATCTCAACTATGATGAAAATCTATATATTTACTTTTTTCTTGTGACTCATTTTGCTAGCACATGTCATAAATATAAATACAATATACAAAATATTAAAACAAGTTATAAAGATGTGAATAATTAAGTTTGCCACTACACACCTGATTTCATAGTTTTACAGAGGATTTATGTTAAAAGCATTACACAAAAAGGATGGAGAAATAAATCATCATGAACCATGTTAAAATGTATGTTGTTTTTAAAAGTGTTTTTATTTATTTATTTATTTGTTTACAAGATTACATCAATTTGGGAACACAATCAAATAAATAAATAAAAGTTTCACTGAACTTTCTGTTTCCAAACACACCAAGTGGCTGTTTTGCACAATATGCACAAACTATTACCTGTTTTCTGTCTGAGGACA